TCGTAGGTGTGTAGCAGAGGAGAGCCTCCCTATTTACAGCACACAGCCTGGGGCCCAAATACAACTCTCAGAGGCGTCTGAGGCCCCTCTGGTTATCTCTTTGCTGCACTAACATAAATACTAGTTTCTCTGCGCACTTGATTGAGACAACAAAAATTTCCATGGCTCCCCCTTTCTGGTGGAGTGTATGTTCCAAGAGAGGCACACTAGGGAATTGGGGCCGAGGAGTGGAACTCAAAATCGGAGTGAGTTTGCGGGATGGGGTGGGTCTCATATTGGGCCAACCTGCTTCCCTGCGGGTCCCCGGGGCGGGGCAACAGAAGGGGGAGAGCTTCCGAAGGACCCCGCCGCCGACATCCCGCTCCCCGCCCTTCCTCCCGCCGCCGAGAAGGCCAACTCCGCCTGCTTGAGTCACCGCTGGAGCTGGGGAGGGGCCGGGGAGAGGCCGCGCCAGCCCAGAGCGCAGCCGGCGGCCGCAGGGAGAGCAAGCCGGGTGATCTGAGATCATGGGGGAGAGCGCGCTGGAGCCAGGGCCGGTCCACGGAGCGCCCGCGGGAGGCCCAGTGCACGCCGTGACGGTGGTGACCCTGCTGGAGAAGCTGGCTACGATGCTGGAGGCGCTGCGAGAGCGGCAGGGGGGCCTGGCGCAGAGACAGGGAGGCCTGGCTGGCTCAGTGCGCCGAATCCAGAGCGGCCTGGGCGCGCTGAGCCGCAGCCACGACACCACGAGCAACACGCTGGTGCAGCTGCTGGCCAAGGCGGAGCGCGTGGGCTCGCACGCCGATGCTGCTCAGGAGCGCGCCGTGCGCCGCGCCGCCCAGGTGCAGCGGCTGGAAGCCAACCACGGGCTGCTGGTGGCGCGCGGGAAGCTCCACGTCCTGCTCTTCAAGGTCAGTGACCTCAGGCGTCCCCCAATCCAGGGCCTTTTTCCGCCTTCAGGCCACCATCTGCCCCCCCCCTTCCCATCCGCCTCCCACACCCACATTCCTGACGCTGCCCTGTGGGACTGACTTTCAGAGCCACACCGTTCCCCACACCCAGCCCATCCTTCCCTCCCACGCCACAACAGCCTGGCCAATCAAAGCCCGGCTAGATCTAGTTCAGGCCACGTCCCCAGAATTTTCTCCAAGTTCCAGCCCATCCCGAAATGAACATAACGGTGGTGGAAGTGCATCCCACGACAGTGCATCGCCTCCTCCAGTTCTTGGTCCTGCGGCCACCATCGTGGTCTCACATCAGCTTCTCTAGTTCGCCCCGCCCCCTCATTTCCCACGCCTGCTTTTTCTTTCCCACTTGGGCCTTCTAGGCTAAGGGTAGGGCAGGTTCCTCTGCTGTAATTGAGGAGTGGGGTTCGGGCTGGTGCGGGGTAAGGGGCTGCCAGGGTCAGTGCTGTGTCCATCACATTCAGGAGGAAGCTGAGATCCCACCCAGAGCTTTCCAGAGGGACCCGGAGCCCCTAGAGCCCGTGGACCAGTCCGAGCCCAACCCAGAACAGCCGGAGGTGGAAGTTGGGGAGAGCTCGGACGAGGAGCCAGTGGAGTCCAGGGCGCGGCGGCTGCGGCGCACTGGGTTGGAGAAGGTGCAGAGCCTGCGAAGGGCCCTTTCAAGCCGCAAAGGCCCATCAACACCCACGCCTGTCAAGCCACCTCGCCTTGGGTCTGGCCAGAGCGTTGATGGCCTGCCGGAAGAAGCCAGGCCAGCCCTGGAGTCCAAGCTGGAGCCAGAACCTCCTCCGGACACCGAGGAAGATCCCGGGAGACCTGGGGCTGCCGACTTGGCTGTGCTCCAAATAGAGAGTGCGGCCTGATGGCCGCTGCTGCTTCTCTCTCCTGTGCCTATGCTTAGTCCCAAAATAAATCTTCCTCTCAGAATTCAACATTCACGCCCAAATAAGGAGAGAATTCTGCACCCACAGCCCAGCTCTGGCCCTCCCTTCTGGGCTCCTTCAGCATAGCACCCTGTGTCCTAGGAGCAGCCACTCACACCTGCTTGCGCTCACCATCAATAAAAGTAATGTCACCTAATCCAGATTCCATGTGAAGGGGTGGGTGGGGGGAAAGGCAGTGCAAGGAATAAGACAAATGTTGGAACTAGGAATGTGGCTTCAGTTTCAAACAGACCATTGTATGATTTCTCCAGTTTCCACTGAATCCTGGGCTCCACTCCAGTGGCACATAGAAATATCCTGCTGACTGCTTGCTCCTCATGGGAAAGCGTCCAGGGCCATTTCTAGCTGTAGGTACTCAGCAAATGTCAACTAGTGGTTTTCCTCTTAGTCTCTTCTTCCTCTACCTTGTAAAAGTTGGGTGTTCCAGGATTCTGTTCTCAGCCCTCTTCTCATTCTGGGTCCTCCTGTTAACACTCGCTCCCAGGTCTCTCCTGCCAGCCACATATATCCCAGACCAGGGGTCGGCAAACTGCGGTTCACGAGCCACATGCGGCCTTTTGAGTATATACATGTGGCTCTGAAGTAAAATTGAAAATGAAAATAAAACCATCAGTTTCATTTATAAAATTTTTAAAGGATATTATTCACATAATGGTGATTTCATTTGTTTTATGGCTCTCAAATAATTTTAAATTGTTGTGNAATTAATTAAAGCAAACCCTTCCTTACAGTATGCTATGTTCTGGGAAGGGGAAGGGTCAGTGTACAAAAGGAACCCTTGACAATCAGAGTGGGAAACACCCTGTAGTTTTGAAGCCAAAGGTCCTTATGACTTTAAATTTAGCTTTGAATCCTGGATCTAGAAATCATCTCTCTCTCTCTCTCTACACCCCTCATAGACCTAGCCTTTCCCCTGATAATCAGCAATCAGCATCAGCAGAAAATAGCCCAGGTTTTACTAACGGTCGCAAGATCTGGACCTCTGGCAGGCTAAAGATAAAATCTTGACCTAATTTATGTTTCAGCTCCTGAGCCCTATGGTGGAATGACCCCCTGGCTACTTTCCCATGAAATCAGACAGAGAGATGTCAGAGCAGAACTCAGAGCTGTCCTCAGGACCTAGAGAAATGACTTATTACCCTTACCTCACTTCTGACCAATCAGCTCCTAGCACAGCCCTGAATCCTCTAACCCACAGTGTCTTATATGTATACACAGCACCATATAATCTGTAACCTACACATCATCGGGGAGTCAGGTCTTTTAGGACATTAGCTCCCAGTACTCTGGATTGGCCAATTGAATAGTAAACCTTTTCTTTCCATACTGCAAACTCCTGCTCATGCATTTCTTTTGGGCCAGTGTAGACAGATAGACTGAAGTATTGGGGTCCCAGTAACAGTTTTTTAAAGCATTTGTTAGCTCAACGACCATGGCATGCCACTAATTTTTGCAAGACCCATTATATTTGGGCAACTGTTAATTTAATTGTCTATGTTCTACAAGGAATCTTCAGGTCCTACTAACTTTTCCTACAGAGAATTTCATACTTCCAGAGAATTAACTGGGGAGGCCATCCTGGGGAAGGAAATACTGTGATACTGATGGTGATAAATCAGTGGGTACATTAATGTCTCAGAGTTATCAAAATACATTAACACAAAATAGGCTTAAAACAACAGAAATTTATTCTCTCACAGCTCTGGAGATTCGAAGTTTGAAATCAAGGTGTTGGTAGGGCTGTGCTCCCTCCAAAGCTTTTAGTGGAGAATACTTCCTTGCCACTTTCAGCTTCTGGTCGCTTCAGGCATTCCACGGCTTGTGGTAGTATAACTCCAATCTCTGCCTCTTTTGTCACATGATGCTTTCCGTGTGTCTTTTGTCTTCTTATAAGGACACCAGTCATATTGGATTAAGGGCCTACACTGCTCTAGTATGATCTCATCTTAACTTGATTACATCTGCAAAGACTTTTTTTTTTTTCTAAATAAGTACATATTCACAGTATCATAGGACTTGAGCATATCTTTTTTGGGGACACAATAAACCCACACCAGTGGGCTTCCACTTTTCATGCCCATACCAAAGAGTTTGAGGGAGTAGGTTCTAGCCACATCCCTAATTTAGAGAATAGAAATATTTAAACTAAGATCAGGTTACACTGCCTGAGATGCTTTCATTCTGCATCCTTGTTTTCTTCTTTTCTCATCCTTATTGGAAACTATGATATGGCTTTTTCTTGGGTGCTCCATGATAAAAGGTCACTCTAGTATAATTTCTGTCAATCTGGGCCTTGTTGACTCAGGGCATTCTTCTGGGTTGCCCTATGTTATTTTTACCCACCTATGGGCTTCTATTTTTCAGCATCAGCCATTTCCTATAGCATTTATACTTGAGGTTTTTGGGAATACCAGTAGTACCATCAGTGGCTTTACTGCTAAGTTTTAAGGTCCTCCTTGTTCTATATATCCTGAGAGAGACTTAGCAGTTCTTTGAATAATATCTATCCACTGAGTTCTTGCTTCCAAATGCTCTGGGCTCCCTTAGCACCATTCCTCAAGGCTGGTGATTCTTTCAGAGACTTCCTGTAGTAGATATTTTGATTGACTTTCCAGTCCTGACAGTGCTCAGATTTTTAATACAGACATCCACTTTTCCTCTCATACCACCCATATGCTTCTGGGGAAGCTGACCCTTCACTGCTCTACAAGTGAGCCTAACTTATTAAAAGGTAACCATCAGCTCTATTGTCAGTGGTGGGTTAAGGAACTCAGGCCTAAGCCCACCAATGCTTGACACTTTCCTAGCTATAGAATTTGTTTCTGGAATGGCCAAGGCAAGTGGAAAAATGGGGGGGGGGGTGGCGGTGCTTCTGGGAAATACATGTCCTAAATTTTAAGATGATCTCCTCTTTTCTCTTGACCTTATGCAGAAATGTGAGGTCTGGAACTGCTGTAGTCACCTTGCTCCCAGCCTGAGAATGAACCTGACACCTGTAGTGGGGAACGATTGAGAGAAGTGTGGAGAACCAGACTGGAGCTGTGACTGACCCACATTCTGTCATCACTGTCCAACGGTCTTTTTAAAAATTATGTTTGGATTGGATCTCCTGTTTCTAAGAACTGTTTGAATTGGGTTTTCTGTTCCCTCGGTTTGAAAGCATTTTAACTGGCACATCCTGATGGATCTCTCTGGGCAAATACAGATCCACTGGAAGACATGGTGATTCCCTTCAGGTTCCCAAGGGAATCCATTTTCTCTTGTGTTAAGCAGAGGGGTCAGGCTCCATGACCTTCTATTTGTAGAAGTTACTCATCAATTTGGCATCAACAGATTTCTGGCAATAGCTGCCCATTCTTTGCTCTAAGTCAGACCTCAGGGCCTTCAAGGCCCATGTAACTATCCTGAGCTACAAGGTTCCTTCAACAGTTGTTGTCAAGTGGCCCTCACAAATTGTGTGAGGACAGAAAGGGAGAGAGAGATCATCAGGATCGATGGATTGATTGGACTACCGAGCCTACAATCTGTTTACCAAGCATTGCTAAAGGCAAGGCATGTGATTTTTCCAAACTGATGACAGTACAAATTCTTGACCCACATCATTAACTGGATCCTCTATGCTCACTCTCTCCCCCTTTACAGCAGTAATTTCAATCTCTTTTATTTGGAGCAGATAGTCTCATCTATTTCCAGAGGGGGGAAAAAATCAGGCAAGAGTCACAACCTACCTCCATGTAAACAGACATACCAGCACCTATTCTAACTCTTGTAAGGGTTTCAAAGGAAGAGGTGTCCTGCCTGCCCTCCAAGCTTGGGGTGTAGGAGCTAGGCGCTGCTGGGCTTTACCCATGAAGCCCAAAANACTCCCACATCCTGACAATTGGCTCCAGCAGCAATAACATTCTCCAAAATTCTGGGCTCCTGCCAACCTTGTTCTCATCTAAGGTACATGGTGCTCTAATGTGCCCAGTGTGCCTCGGCCAAAACATCCATCCACGGCATATTGATTGATTTGCTTGGCTGGCAAGATTGTGTTTGTTTGTTTTTTGCTTGCCCCTCACTTCCTGTTGTCCCAAACTTACAGCCCTTTTAATTGCCAGTGCCACAGAGTTCGCTCATTGTGTGGAGTGACCATACGTTTCTGTAGACAGGATGTCTATGACAAAGGGTGGAAGGTAGTGCCTGTCCACCGAGGCTCATTGCCTGTTTAAAGGTGGTTCTGCTGTGCTGCATGTTGTTACATTTGATTCAAAGGCTAAGTCCCTGGAGGACAGACACCCTACTTTGTCTGGCAGCTGAAAGTGAGGCTTAGGGTCATGGATGTTTCTTGTACAATTAACTCACATAGCCATCTCTTATCCTTTCTTAGATTCCTTTTTTTCCATCTAATAATCAAAGACAGTTAGGCTGTATTGCTATGTGTGACCCAGGGTTCCAATTTACAAAACAACCCAGGAACCCCTGGTGACTCCCTCCACTGGCATCTGGTAGAAAGCCAGCAATTGTCTTTCAAAGCAGTATACTTCTCAGCTGCTGGAAGCATTGCCTTAGCCCAACATCCTAAATACTTCTGTTATATTTTTCCTTCTAGAACCTGCCATCCCACCCCCTTTCCCCAAATTGTCTTGGTGGGAGAGGCAAAAATCACAGAGAACTCAAGTCTCATCTTTCGTTCTGACTTACAAGGCCCAAGGGGTAGAGATGACCAGGCTGTGGCTTGTAACTTGGCCAAGGTGAGTCACTGAGGCTCCCCTGAACCCTCTTTAAAGTAAGTGACCTTTTGGATGACCCAAGATATGCAGTGTATCAGAATTCTAAGGGGGAGCATATGCTGACTCTAAAATCCAAACACCCACAGTGAGCAGCTGTTTTTTTGTTGTGGTGGGAGGTATTAAATGTGTTTCACTATCTGTCACAGGCTGAAGTACTGCTGCTCTAGGAAACTCCTGTGGCTAGTTCCTAGACTTGAGGGCACATACTCACCCCCCTTTG